TTAAAGGTGGAGAGGGTAGACTTTTCAAAAATTCGCGAAAATCCTCCACTATACATATTATAACTATACATAGTAAAGCGACTAAATTTGAAACCCAAAGCAGTATTATAAAAAAGAGGTCATAGAACATGGGAGCTTCATGATGTTTGACAAAAAACAAACATGTCAGGAATAAGAGGAACAACCAGTGAAGTGTTTGGGTTAAAAAATGGAGGAAGTTTCAAGGAAGACGTGATGCAAAACAAACACTGGAAATGTCTCAATTTTCAGCATCACTGACGGTTTGATAAAGTGTTTTTATGCAAATTGAAACCAATTAATTGGTGAGATTCCAGCTGGGTAATCAGGAGATCAGAGATTCCAAAGCTCTGCTTGGTTGGATCAATAGAAAGAGCACCAGAGCTGCCAAAGATGTGTTAGCTTAACGGCGTTTGGTTGATGGGGATGTCTTAAGCTAGTAAACCACAGTGCAATGTCCCTATTTTAAAACCGCCCATATTTGGACTAAAGAGGGCGAGCTCTGCTGCTCAGAGACATATCAGCGTGCAGATCAGTGTTTCATTTCGGAGTTTTACGTCTCCTCGCAAAATTCATACCTTTTGATTTCTTTCCCTTCCCCAACAAATATCTCTTTTCAGGTTTCTTAAAATGTTGATGTTTTAAGCTCCAACCCTCATCTTTGACCCTATGTATTAAACCTTAAAGCCCACAGCATCATGCTGCCACCTAAGGCTTGGTTATATGACTCAGACAACCTCATCTGTTTTTATTTATTTTTTTCTACTTTTAATTTCTCCAATTTAATAAGAAATTAGTTTAAATGACACATTATTTAAAAGAAATAAAAAACATTAGCTCTTATTCTTTGTTTTTTTACTTACATTTAAAGGACAACGAAATGAAAGCTGTGAAGTGATGAGTATATATCTAAGAACAAAGTGTTGAACTGATGTTAAAATCCAGATTATCCAAAAAAAAAAAAAGACAAAGAAAATGTTATGAAGAGTATTTTGTGGATTAACTGCCCAGCCCCACCGCCACCACCGTGCTTTACCCTGGGGTGGTGTGTTCAGGCTAATCTTTTTTGTTTTTTTTATTATTATTGGTGGGTGACGTGAGCATTTTTTGAATTTCACCACAGAAGGTTGAGATGTTTTATTCTCCTCTTTAGAAAGGCAGCATTATGCTACGTTCACACTGGCAGAAGCAGCGAGTTTACATGCAAAGTCAATGGTTGACGCGCGTCAA